AAGCGATTTCTGGTAATGATTTAACTCATAATTGAATGACCACTAGAACGAGTGCCGGTTCTTTAATAAAGATCAATGATCACTCAATGTGGGCATTCTTACCGGACCTTTGAAGGAACATTCCTAAAAACTTATAATTCTTTCTTATAAACTTGAAAAATTGGTCATGCTGGACCATGAAGTCCACAAGTGGGCTGCAGTCGCGGGTGGACGAAAAGCGCGCCGGTCCCTCGCGGCGTTTGCCGTGGTCGTCAATGGGTTAAGCAGAAATCCTATAGAGTTATGTAGTGGTTCGTGTTGTGACCCTGATATTTACGACGAGGTTGTGACTACTCGAAGTTTCCTTGTGACTACTCGAAGTTTCCACCTCGTTGTATAATCCTTCAGTGTACAGATGAATCTCCTATGGACACGACCATTCCTAATTAGCAGGACTGAGCACGCTAGTCATCTATCCTTGCCTTTCATCGACGTGACTCGATCACAGCAGAATACACTGCTATGGCAATAATCGAAACGCATTATCCAGATATCAGACTATTACAGGAACCTTCTGGCTGCTCCCGGAATGAAGATACGACGCTAGCGTTTCACCATGTCTCTGTACTTCCTTCTTGCTTACGGCTAATGCTTGGTTTGCTTCGGTGCACTACTTCATACAAACATTATCTTATTTTCTAAAATACATGTAAAAATACTGTAGAAACCACTGTGATATACATATTTTGAAAAAACTAGTGAAGAGTAGTATGTGCATCATACCAGTAATGGGTACACTTCAATGAAAGCTCAAGCGAATTAACAGAATATTAAAGAAGCCACCTAAGTCAGATATTGCGTCGGCGTCGACGTTCTGCTCCTCGCACATAGGCATCAGGGTTCGCTACTCTTAGGGACCCCACCTCTACGCCCTACAACATTTACTTTGGCCCTTGAAGCGCCTAGCTGCTCATACACCTAGTAATCGCCGTACGCAAGCTACAATCCCTACGACACAGTAAGGTCTACGCACAACTTGACTTCATACTACGATATGAATAAAGAATCGTCATAACTTCCGGAGGAGAAGTGCTTGGATCAGCTCAGCATCTTCAGGCTTCCATAATCGACCGTGTTGACCCCTACGTTTTACTATTTGTTGCATCATATTCCTCGACCTCGATGCCCGGGGGGACGAACGGTCTCCGCTAAGAACGACGGCGGGACAGCGGATGAGTGGCTGGTGAATTCAATGGCGGCAGACGTAGACTCCCTGTTGTTGCAGATGAGTGCTACAGAGCGGAAGGCATCACGGAGGATCCTCCGCCACTTGCGTGCTGCTGCGTGGCGGCTCTAGTTATGCGTCTTTTATTTCTCTGGCATTGGAGGACAACATAATTTGCATGCCACTTTCAAAAATCCACCACGTGACCCCCTAGCTGCTTCATCTCGCTCCGTGTCCTTACCAAAAGCCCCTTTTTCTTGCGTCGTATACGTGGCGGATGGAAATTTGGGCATTCATGTAAGGTTCTGCCGTGGAAATATATTGTCTACAAGAATATTGCAGAATTCGGAGGATGCTTTTTGATGCCTTCCGCTCTTTACCGTCACTCGTTGTAGCATGAGCCGGAGCACACAGCCTCTGGCTGCTTTCATAGTTCGCCGGCCGGCTCGCGAGCGAGCGCGCCTCGTGGACTACTCGGCCGGCAGTATTGACCGAGATTCAGTTGTAAACAAGGGGCTCGCGGACCGGCCGGCGGACTATAAAAGCAGCTTCTCTGCCCAACGTGCAAGACGTCAATGCGCAATGCGCGTCAGGACCTACACGCACCCCACCAGACAAGGTCCTTTAAGTATCAGTGCGAAAGCCACGACAGCAAGAGTGGTGTAGAAGCAAGTGGCGCGCTATCACACACGCATGGTCACGTGTTTGGATTCCGAATCAATAATGGCTTAGGCCAATTTAGCCTTCCATCCCTTCAGGTGCGGTTAATTGGTAACAGGCTCGTTTGCGGGAATAAATGCACTGTCTTGTACATCAGCTGGTCAGCGCAAGTCATTGTATGGGCCACATACGCATTCAAGCCACCAACACGATTTTGAAAGGAACTGGAATGCGGAGCACATCCTCGAAAAGAGATTTCCAAGAAGACCTTTCTCCGCCCGGCCTTTCATTTTTTGTTGAAATCTTCAAAATTCTGTAATGTACAAATATTGCCTATCCGCCTGCTGTCAGTAAAGATCTGATAGTCTTATAGCGCTGGTGTGGGTGGAGCGGAGATAACCTGTAGCTTCCGATTGCCCTGGTTTACTGTGAAGAACCATAATGTACGCAAATGGAATAAGTAGTGTTTATGTTAAAGTGTTTTCATTAAAAATTGTAGCTTTTGATTATTACTGAACACCTTGAATTATACACTTGCTATTCGTACCCTACAAAAGATTTGTGAGTGATAAACCTTCAATGTTTCCT